GGGCCGGAAGGAGTTAATCTCAGTTCATCTTCCTTCAAAATGCGGTCACCAGCTTGGCACATGGTGGCCATCTATCGACTCATTCAGCAGCTTGCTCCATTCTTCCACCTGATGGGGGACAGCAGCGACCCACCAGCAGCCCCCAGCTGAACGTGAAATCGTAAAGCAATTAATCAACGCTGCTAAAAGGCCTGGCTGACAAGAGCAGGGCTGGCCATGCTATCTGTCAATGTTGTGTTCATCATGGAAATCCGGCAGGGGCCCGGGAGGCGTGCGTCTGTCCGAGGGCCGGAGCCCTGGAAGGCGCCTGGCTGCTTCAGCGCTCTCTCCCTCATCCACACGCTTTCCTCAGAAACTAGGCACGGCGACCTGTGGGGGTGACGGAGACCCTCCAAGTGGCCGGCACAGCTCCTGCGGCGCTTCCCGCAGCGGCTGCTACTCAAGGGAGCGCGCCTAAGCACTCGGGCAGGTACTACTCCGCTCTGTGCCTCCGTGCTCAGGGTGTGCCTGCGAGGTCTCGTGGCAGAGGACAGCCATGCGCGTGCGTGGGCCATTCCGTGGCCACAAGGGCTCCCTGATGGAGAAGTCAGTGAAAACTCAAGACACAACGGCTCTCAGAAGGCCACGGCACCAGGTTCTGGTCGTCCACCCACAGGTGCCCACGGGCTTCAATCTGGCAGCACTGAGGGTCTGGTGGCACGTGTGACACACACATGCAGCACTCTAGCGGCAGTGACAGCCAGGTCATAGCAGCAGCCGCAGGGCCGTAAATCACCAGCCACACTGTCCCCACGTGGAGTGTCCACACCACAGGCGCAGGTGTGCAGGAGCACACCACTCTCAGAGCACGCAGAGGCAGTGGCCGCCCACTCCGAGGCCTGCCGCCTACAGCCCCTACAGCCCAACCACCCTGGAACAGCTGAGAGTATCTGGTGATGGAAGAAACCTGAGAGACTCCAGGGAAAACGCAGGCTTTATGCCTCCATATGCTGTCAAGTGGACAATAAAGGCGAGTTCAGAACCCAAGCCAACCACAAGCCCTGCTGCAGCTAGGCCCCACTTTACTGGGCTCCCCATGAGGCCTGCAGAAAGCGGGGACCCCCAGCGGCCCAACCCCCAGAGCTCTGCCTTCTCCCAAGCAGCAATCAGTGCCGCCCCCGCACATCCCCTGAGCGTGGTGTCCAGGCCATAAAGCGCACCAGGACGGCCTGCACAGGAGAGACCAAGCACTCAAACCCAGCAAGTCACCCCGTGCCAGAAGGTGCCCTGCCCCGGGAGTGCAGGCGTGCATGACTCCCCGAGGCGTGTTCTTCACCAGCTGGGCACCATGCAAGGCCACAGGTCTGTTCACAAACACCTGCCCTAACATGACAGGCTGAGTCAGGGCCTCAGGCAAGGCCTGCACCAGGCCGGGCTCCCGCACCAGGCAGCCCCTGCCAGACTGGACATCACAGACGCCACGCCTGCAGGGCCGTGTCCCGACTCCCCCACTGTTGCACACTCACCTTTGCCTATGACAAGGCCACACTTATCCGCGGGCACCGTGTACGTTATCTCCTGGACGGCACCCGGCGCACCCACGCTCCAGTCACCCCGGCCGCGGCCTCTTCCTCTGGCTATGGCCAGGCCTCCAAAGCCGTCTCTTTCCTGAGAACACAGGTTCAGGGCGCAATCAGCGTCACCCACCAGACCCTAGCACCTTCAGGACTAGCCTGTGCCAGGTGTGCAGGGGACACCGGGACTGCAGAACAGCACAGGTCAACTCGGCCCCTGATCACGGCCCCTTGGAGCATTACTCACAGCACCTGACCTACAGGCGTGGGGACTCGGACACTCCCCTCCATGCTGGAGCGGCTTTGTGCCACGTCTGAAACCAGACACCAAATCGCTTAGGCGCCCAGAATGACAAGCGGTGCAATGTGGGACAATTCTGTCACTGGTGTCCCAGGCAGAGAACCTTACATTCCAACCAGTACGTGGACAAAATGAATTTAAAAAAATAGGTTGTCTTACCCTGGGAAAGAGCAGAAATACGCTCAGAAGTGACTGCTCAGGGTGGCTGAGGGGCCAGGACCTCTGGCCTGCCACCTGCCCAGGGGCCGGGCTGGGAGCACAGCCTCAATCCCAGACTCCCAGGAGGAGACCCTCCCTCAGTGTGCAGCAAGCCCTGTTCCGGACACAGCTGCTGTGCCGCTCTGGGGCTGCAGGACCTCGGATGTGCCAAGCACAGAAGGCAAACGAGGCCATGCCACAGGCTCCTTCTCGCTAAGGGGAAGGCCAAGGGTCACTCGGCACAGTGAAGAAATTTTGGTAAAGCCTGCTTATGCTGATGTCAACCAGTCAAAGTGAACCAGTCAAAGCCAGCAGAGAAGAGATAACTGGAGTGCTTCTCCCTGCTTTTGTGCAAGGCACCTGACAAGTAATTAAGGTAATTTGGGGATTTACATTAAAACTCACGCACTCTGCGCTCCCCAACGCATCCCATGCTCCGAGAGCAGCCAGTGGCCATTTCAGAAACTGGTGCCACCCAAGCTCTGACGCCTGGCTCTCTGCTCACCACCAGTCTCTCCACCCATAGTTCAAAACACCTTGGAAGCTCACAGGGGCCACCCAGCCACACCCTCTGGCGAAGCCTGAAGCTGGCCATGAGGCCTGTCCCCCAGCCCCAGGGCTACGGCAGGGCTGGGGCTCCACTCTAACCAGCTGCCTTGCTTGGCCTCCAGCCACGCTCAAAACCAGTCTCCTCAGCCAGCCCTGCACGGGAGGGTGCGGCCACCAGTACAGGTCACAGTGGGGCAGGCGCGGCACACCAGCTGTGTGTCCCAAAGACAAGCCTGACACCAGGTGCCTGAGGACACATCCAGACTGAGGAAGGTCCCAGAGCCCTTTTGGAACTCAGAGGACATGTCACTTAAAATGGTTTGAGAGCTGGAAACAGAGGGACACAGAGAAGTCCCTGGTCTCCACTAAGCGGGGGTGATGCCTGCCCTGGGGGTGCTGCTGGGCTACCGGCTACAGAGCAGGAGACCCACCTGCGCCGTGAGGATCAGCTCGTTGATGATGTGCGCTGCGTGCTGACACCGGTCCGGAGGGCCCATGACCTGGGCCGCTCTTTCCGGACTGACCCCATCATCTGCAGAGCCAAGTGAGATGGGATTAAGGAAGCCCCCCGGTAGGACACAGGGCAGGCTCACTCAGCCAGTGTTCTCACCAGGGCCACGTGGGCAGTGAGACGGCCGCCAGCCCGAGCCTGGGCGCAGTGCTACGGAGGGAGGCGTGTGTGATTGTTCTGCCTATTTCAGGTCAATATCCCATTCTTATGCAAGCACACACACAGCTACTTTAAAAAGATAACAAAAGAAAAAGCAGGGCCAGTGAGTTAGCTCAGTGGACTAAGTGCCTGCTTAGGGAAGCGCAGGGACTGGGGCTCGATCCCTGGTCCCATATGTCGGTGTGCTGAGTCAGCCAAGGAGTCCAGGTGTGGTGGAGCACACCTGCAATCCCAGGGCCAGGGAGGCTGAGACAGGAGGATCACTACAAGTCCAGTAGCGAAACCTGTACCAAATACATTAAAAAAGAAAAAGAAAAAAGGAAGGAAGGAAGGAAGGAAGGAAGGAAGGAAGGAAGGAAGGAAACAAAAAGACAAATAGAAAGGCCAAGGTAAACTGAATGGAATTAAGATAATAACATTAAAAAACACCTCACTGGGGCCGGGGAGATGGCTCAGTGGAATAAGTGCTTCCCTAGCAAGTGCAAGGGTCTGAGTTCAATTCCTGGTTCCGGAAAAAAAAAAATTAATAAATAAAAAACACCTCATTAGTATACATCTCTCTCTGTAGAGAAACAAAGAAAACATACACATCGTAGAAAATTTTTACGTAGAAGTAAATTTTAAAATTTAAAGAAAAAAATTCACCTGCCTGGCAAGTGTAAGGTGTGCCTGGCAAGAGTTCAATCCCTGGTTTGAAAAAAATTATAAATATAAAAGATAGTTAAGGGGCTGGAGAGATGGCTCAGTGGTCTAAAGCACCTACTTGGAACAAGCTTGGCAAAGCACAGGGACCGCAGTTCGATCCCCCAGCACCACATGCCAGCCAGCCCGCCCCCTGGTGGGCTGAGCTGGCCACACACATACATACACATACACACACTAAATAAAAATGTAATAAATAAATAATTTAAAAATAAATAAATAAAAAATAAAAGATAGTTAAGATAGTTATTCTTACTTTTTTCCAGTTCATTGAAAAAAAAAGGTTGATGCTCACATTGTTTGATACCATGTCCACGTTTACATCTTCTAATCTGAGCATCTACTTCAAAGATGACAGTATGCAAAGTATTAACCCTTGTAACTTTATTATCTTTTGGAATTTCCCTTTTTTTTGCTTTGGTCTTTCTGAGACAGGGTCTTACCATGCAGCTCACGCAGCCCTTGAGCTCTCTTTGTAGCCCAGGCTGGTCTCAAACGTACAACAACCCTCCTGCTTCAGCCTCCAGAGTGCTGGGATCACAGGCATGAGCCACCATATCTACTTATTTTGAAATTTATCAGTTTTTCTCTTGAAAAAAAAAAAAAAAAAAAAAAAAACCCTAAAAAACAATAAATACACAAAATTTAAAGAGCTGGGCATTGTGGCCTTGGCCTGTAATCAATCCCACACTTGGGAGGTAGAGGCAGGAAGACCCCAAGCTTGAGCCCAGCCTCGGTAACTTGGCAAGAGCCTGTCTAAAAGGGAAAAGAAACTGAGAAAGGGGCATGGGGTAAGGGGTAGGAGACAGAGCTTAGTGTGCAGGTCCTGGGTTCAATCCCTAGTAACACAAACCAATTCCTCCCAAAATAAAATCCTCAAGGATGTTTATCCTTTTTTTCTTCTTTTTTTGCAGTACCAGGAATCGAACCCAGAGCCTTACGCTTGCCAGGCAGGGGTGTATGCGCTGAGCTCTCTCCCTGGCCCCCTATTTTTTCTTATGGTTATAATTAATCCTCATAAAAAATCAAACTAATAGGTAACATTAAAAAGAAAAAATCTTTACTTAGTAAAACCAGGAACTGGAGGCACTATGCTCTTCAAGAAGAGGGAAAAAAGAGAAAAGCCCTTAGGACAGAGCGCAGCGGTGCCCGGTTCGCGAGCTTAATTCCGCCCGTGGCTCTGGAACCAACCTGGCTTAAACTGAATCCTCACACCAGCGTCATTCTGGACCTTCTTGATCATTTCCCCATTTCTTCCTATTACGATCCCAACAGCAAACCTGGGCACGGATACCTGAGTACAGAGAAACAAAACCTCACCAGGGCTCTTAAATCTGTTTTTCTATGGACATTTAAAAAAATTTAGTTTGGCTTTCATGATAATTCTAGAAGCCATATAATAAAGAATTCTTTCCTTTTTAGAACAATAATTGCTAGCGACTGCCTTGACAATGAAACACTCCTCCAGTAAGTCCAGGATGTGATCCGGGCTACAGACGTGAAGCGCGGCTATCCCACACGCACCAACGGTCCCCGACACTGTTCCTCACCTTCCACGTGTGGTGGGGGCCACGTGCAGTGGCACGCACCACTCACGTGGGGAGCCAGCCAGCCCTGTGCCCACACTGGCCCTACGCCCCTTGGCCATGCTGTAGAGCCACTGCTCTCTGCATGCCCTGCCACCTACCAACCCCTCCCCTCCTAGTCCCGTCCTGCTCCCGACCTGTCTCTACAGCTGGCTGACTGCTCTCGGCCCCGTTCCCAAGGTCCACTGCCGCACTGGGCATGTAGCCAGCGAAGGACGCCTCATCCATGAAATGGGCTTACATGGCTAGCATCGTGACAGCACATCACTGTGAAAAGCTCGACTTCGGTCTTCACCCGGCAGCAAGCTAACCCTAGAGCCCAACCCGAGCCCGAAGGCAGGGGAAGTGACCCTACGCCCTCCGACGCAGCGCTCTGTCCTCACGGCCCAGGCAGCCCGGCAGCTAACCTACTCGGATAGGGCTCTGAGAGCAGGGCCAGCAGCGGCACCTGGGCTTGCACGTACCTCTATACTGCCTCCTCCCAGCCGGGAGCCGAAGTCGCCACGAACACCTCGGAAGTCAGCCTGGTCTTTTTCTCGGATGATCTCTAGTACCATTTCTCTTGCTTGCTGTGCAAATACAAACAAGCATTATGGGGAACAGACTGTACTGGGTGAAACTTTCTGATCCAACCCTTCCAATGTGGGCTTAAAGACTCTGGTGCTCAGCTGAGGGAGAGTGCAGCACAGTGGGTGTGCGACCAGGGCAGGCGGCTGCTAAGGGCTACAGATGTCAGTTCTGCACACCGAGCTCTTCAGGTGGCCCAGAGGCCCACGCAGTGAGGGCCCAGCTCTTAAGCCACACCCAGTCAGCACAGCGGCATGCATGGTGCAAACAGGCGACATTCCTTTCCAGTGGGAGGGGACACACAGGTGACAAAGGAGATCTCAGGAGGGTACACGCAGAAGCCTCGGCAAGGCACGACTGGCTAGGGACAGAGAGCCGGGTGGAAATGCGGGCAAGGCGGCTTCGCTGATCTGAACGCATCTGTGGCAGCTTTCGCTGGCCTCTCCGCGTACCAGGGCTGCGCGGGTGCAGGGGTCATAGCCAGGCCTGCGGTACACCGCACCACCGGGCCTGGAGGAGCTGAGACCGAGTTACAGTTGTGGAGAAAGCCAAACCACCTGACCCCAAGCAGCAGTTAGGGCCTGAGGCCTCTGGAGAAGCCACTGCATGGGCTGGACGCGAGCTGATGCTGTGGAATCACTAAGGTTCTTAGGCCTGGTTCTTAGGGGTTGGGGTGAAATGTCACAGTATCTGCTTATTATAAGTGGTAGAGAAAAAAATACACATTCTCAGCAAAACACTGAGCAGGTGGAGGGCAAACAGCTATACACTGTACTGTATTCTACTTCGCTGAATATTTTAAGTGTTTCATAAAAGCTGGGGAGAGAAAAACAATTTAACCTGAATAAAACTGTATCTGTCAAATAAAATGAGGACACAGGTTCAAAATCTAAAAAAAACGCTGAAATCCTTAGGCTATCATTATTTTTTACAGTTACAAGTGCCAACTGGATGTTCTTTGCTTGGGCATTTTCCCTGCAAGACACGACCTGGCTGCTCTGGAGATGGCCACTGGGTAGGTGACTGACACTGGGCAGACATTCACGGCCAGCACAGCCTGCTGCAGGCCCTGCCCTTGCCTCCAGAGGGGCTCAAAGGCCTAACAGCAGCTGGGACCCACTGGCTGCGATGGGTAAGTGCTGACCAAACTTACCCAAGTGCAATCTGATTTAAAATTTTAGCCATCCTGAGGATCGAACCCAAAGTCTTCACGGCAACTCTAGCCCTTTCAATAAATTTTTTTTTTTTTT